GCACACACACTCACACACGCTAATCTAATTTCTTTCTTCTAGTATACCACACTTCCTTTCCCTCTTTCTGTCTTTCCCAAAGCAGAGCAAAACAATAGCTCTCCTGTTTGCCTGCGTCTCTGTCAGCTACGCTGACCGGAGGGCCTGCTGTGACATCCTGTTTTGGGTTCACAGGACAAGGTTTAAACATATGGTCATGTTTTGGGTTTGGCTTTTTTTTTTCTCAGTCTGCCTGGAAATAAACAGACAACAGCTGGAAAAGGACTATTTGGGTCTGATTATTACAGGGTTGACAAGGTTTAGGCTGGTCTAGTGCTGAGCAAGCAGAAAGACTGAACTGGTGTACCTGTTAAAGATTTTAGTGTGCTTGCAAAAAAGGGAAAAAAATGCCCAGTAGTTTGAAAAGTGGATGATAAACCAGCAGGAATCCAGCACTCCAGGCTTTGATGCTGCTACTGATGTGTTTTTTCACTCACTTTAATACAGACACACACTCACAGACACAAACACAGTCCAAAGACCTTCCATATCACACTTTTGCCAACCAGCACATGTGGATCAGCAATCTTTTGACCCATTTATGACTTGATAAACTGGATATTTCACTGAATGAAATCTTTTGAACTCCCCTCAAAACTATTTTTGGTAGTTTAATAAGCTGCAAATGTAGACTTTTAGCTTACACAGGAAGCCGTTGTTGTTCCTCTGCTCAAAGGCCTCCAATACCACTAAAGCATAACAGACTTATTTCTCAGACAGTGGATGGAAATCTGATTCCACTTTACCAGGGGTTTTAAACACTTACAAGGCTTTAATAAAATCTGGCACTACTCGGTGAAACAAAATACAAGTTTCTTTTCCACTAAAGCTTCTAATTCAGCTCTTTGACAACACCTTAGGTCAAACACTTCTGTGCTCGTGTGGCCTCCGACTGCGAACCATTTGTAGCTGGGATCTTTTTTCTGTGCTCTGAGAAGTAATATTGTGTGTCAGGGTTAGCATGGGTTGTGAAGTGTGTCAAATCTGGCCTAGTTCTTCTGCGCCAGCAGCTTCGGCAGACTGCGGATGTCTACGCTTGAGAGAAGCTTGGTTCATGACTCAGAGACCGAGAAAGTAACAGCACACACAACCCTGGCACAAAGTGGTCTGCCAGGAGAGAAGTCAACTATTTCAGCTGTTAGCAAGGCACACCTTCATCACAGATGTGCTAGAAACATCAACAAGCAAAGGTGACCTGTTTGATACGGTAGTGGTGGCCATCTAAAACCAGAGGTGTCGGTGCAGGAAAACAGCTCTGTCCTACTTCCACACTGATTCTGGCATGTGTGTCAGAGTATAATCCTTTTAGAGTAGAAAGGGTGATAAAAAAAAAAAAATACGATGAAATATTTGCCAACAAGTCTTTTGACTAAAAAGAAGAAGAAAAAATAGACCAGGGATAGGTTACAAATTACTATATATATGAATTTTAAACCATGATTATGATTATGAATTTGTCATTGGTCATTGCTTGCATGAACAGTGGTATCACCATATGTGCACTTTCTTCAAGGCTCATTACAAAATAATACCTTTGTTTTTATGCAAAATGCCTTTTCTTTTCTGTCTGTAATAAACAAACAAAACTTGAGGATCCACCATCAGCTTGAAGCAACTAAAAATGCCAAATTCCCACAAATTCATATTGTAAAGTCAGGGAAGACAGTTTGGTTTCTTCCCGCTGATGATTTGCAGCATAATTCAAAAGTCTCGGTTCACTTCAGTCTAGACCACTTTAGTCAAAACA